AACTAATCCCTCGAACACCCTGCCCTCCCTCGAAAGGGAATCAAAGAACACAACCCCAACCCCTGCCCTCGGCGGCTCCCATGCTCCATCTGTCCAGATGAAAATAGGTTCCAAAATGGCGGATGCGGCAAGAACTCTGGGCGGGGAGTGCCTAAGGATATCCTCGGCTCTCTTTGCAATGTCACGCAGGGTGTCCACCGCCGCCGGGTGCGGCCACTGGCCCAAGTCGGAAAGCTCATTACAAATGTGCTTCAGCCCCCGACCCAAAAGGAAACCAGATGCGAAGTTGAGCAGTCCCTGGAGGACCTGTAGGTGATGCCGAGTCACAGCAGTAACCTCGGAGGCCCGGGTGAACTCCTCAACTATCCTCTCCACACGGCCTGGTTTGTTAACCAACGTGATCTGCCCCTTGTGGACTTGTGACAAGTCGAGAACAGTGCCCAACACTGCGAAGGACGACTCAAAGGGAAGGCCCTTTGAACCCGACTTGGCATGGTCCCACCCCAGGAGGGATAGGAACTCACTGGCTGATGCGTCTGCTTCACAGGCAGAAGAGGACGGGCTGAAAAGCGGAAAGTCATCAAAGTAGCAGCAGGAAGGAATCTTCAAAAGTCGATTCAGCAAGAAGCCAATACTGCGGGAGATTCTGTTAAAGCTGTAGACGGCAGCCACAGCCCCGAACATTAGGGCGTTCGGGATAAAGAAAAGGTCCTTACCGTCCGGGCCCTTGAAGTAGACGACGCACAGGTCTCTGTCCTGTGGACTAAGCGGAACCTGTTTGTAGGCTTTGGAGAGGTCAAGGGTTTTCCCCTTCCAGGGCTCGCTCTCCGGCAACGCCCCCAGGCGACGACTGATGGCCAGAGCAACCGCCGAAACGTAGTCCAGGTCCTGCAGCTGCAACCTCACCGTGCTGGTGCAGGCTGCATTCACCTGGTTCTCACTGGCGTCGTCGATCGGGCGCAGCTTTTTCTCGGATCCCTGGACAAGAACAAAACGCCTCATGGTGCACCATGAGTCATGCCCCAGGACCTGGTTCACCTCCTCTTGCGTAAATGGGCCCTCAAGAAACTCACGGTCTACCTCCTCCATTGTCGACTCCAGGAGGAGCCTCGGGTGCTCAGGGTCGCCCGGCCTGCCTCGGTCAAGGATCATGGCCTGACGACGGACCTTCGCCGTTTCGCGAAGCTGCTGGACAGAGAGCGTCGCCGGCACCAGCTTCACATCGAACGCTGGAGGGTGAGGTTGCGAGCCCGTCACTCGCACCCCCTCAGTCATCAAGCGGAAAACATCCATGTCGTCAAAACCGTGTTCCTGAAGCAAAGCCTGCCATGCCAGAAGATTCTTGTTGCGAACGACCTTTTGAACAGAGGCCGGCAGCCTCTGGTGCAAGCGCCTCTCCTCTGGGGCAAGCTTTTTAATCAGCAATTTAAGTTTCAAGATGGCAAGTTTTCTGATCATGTCCACATGTTGCTTAGACTGACTGGCGCAAAAGTCGATTGCATCTAGGGTGCTTTGGTCCACTGGGTTGACCGTGTCGACAGGATGTGCCAAAGTGATAGCCCTGTCGAAGAACTCCTGCGGGGATCGGAAACGCCCAACCCTGACGAAGTCCTCCTCCCCCTGACCCAGGCTTGGGGTCTCTTTAGTTGTGTTAACCCCTAAGGCCGGGGAACTAGGGAAACCCAAAGGGGAAGGGGCAGCGGGTTGGGACCTATCCTCCGGCAGCCTCTTATCCTCTCCCGAATCTACCCCCTTAGTTGAGAGAGTAGTCAAGGTCTTGAACTGAGGCTGACTCGACTGGCCGCGGGGGACCCAGAGGACTTCTGCAAACTCGGGCAAGAGAGGCGGGTGGCGGCGACGCTGCTTTTGCGCGGCAGCAGAGGCGAGGTCACGCAAGCGCAGCTCGGACTGAAAGACTGAGGGACGGGACTCTTGCACGAACACTCGGACCCGGGCGGCCATGCGCTGTGCCAAAAGAGCAGGATACTCGGCCTCATCAGCCGTGTTGAAGCGCCAGTGGGAAAAGTGAGGTCGCACTCCCCAGGGGAGGTGCTCATGGGAACCTGAGCAGAGAACGGCCAGGGGCTCAAAGAGACCGGCGGTCGCCCACAACTTTGTTCGCTTGGCGCGGCTGCCGCCATGCTCGCAGGCATCAAAGAGAACCTGGGACAAGCGATTAAAGGCGCGTTGCGTGGCAAGCGGCCATTCACGCACATGAATCATGAGCACGGCCCAAGCCCAACTCCGGGCTGGGTTCTCCAAGCTGACAGGCACATTGTTTTCCAGGCACCAGCGAAGGACCTGGGCCGAAAAGCGGTAAAGCTCGTTGGCCGCGGCAACCTTCAAGGCATCCACGCTGTCGGGGCGTATGTCAGGGCGTCCTAGAGGGTGCTCGGCAGACCGAAGGGGCTTCGGGTCGGGGACCCCTGCGAGTCGAAGACGCGGAGGCACAGGGCGGTCACGGGCCCGGGAGGACGTGCCACATGGAAAACCCAGATGGACGAAAGCCGGCGGTACAGTCTGCAGGAGGTGAAGGATCATTTGTTGACAGGCAGCATTGCACAAGTCCAACTGGCAAATGGGGACCAGAGCACCGCGAACCTTATGATCCACGGAGACGACCTGGAAGCCCGCGGCGCGCAAGCATTGCGAGAGCCGGCCACGGCCCGCGAAAAGCTCAAGAGCCAGTGCAGGGTTAGGGCCAGGCGGGGCAGGCGGGGGTTCGGGCTTAGGGGAACTTAACTGAAAACCTGCATCACGCAGGCGAACAGCGTCCTGCTCGGACAGCAAGTGCAAGTCCCGAACACTATAGGCCACGAGGACAGTGCGGGAACCCTTCCAAGGCTGGGTCCAGTGTTTCTGATTACGGGCATCAAAGCTCAGGGTATGCAAGTGCCAAGGTATGACTCGACCACGCATGACTTGGTCTCGAAGCACAGCACGTTCCGGGCCATCAGGGTCCTCGACGATGATGGCGCCCTCCTGGAAGTCTGAAAGAGCTATGAGGAAATTCAAACTGCCCTCCGCATTATGCACATCTTGATGCACGGGCGCTTCAAGGTTCTGAAAAATGGCGATGGAGCTGAAAGCATGCAGGGGTGCGAAATGCCGCACCAGCGTGGTGAAAACGCGGGCCGACTGAGGGTAGTCTCTGAAAGAAGCCGTGAGGCCCACGTTGTTGGAAAACACATAGGCCCCCACCACAAATGTCTTCCCCGGCCCGGTCTTAGCGGAGCGGCGGGACTTTAGGGCGGGAAGCCGGTCGAAAACTTCACAAGCTTGCTGACGGCTCAAAGGTGTTCTTTGCTGGAGAAAAGAAGAGGCCAGGGCCTCCGCAGAAGAAGGCAAAACTCCCCCGACTTCACCCGTGGACTGGGCTATAGGGCCGGCAGCCTCCCCCGCGGGGGGCGGAGGAGGCGGGCCATCCTTTCAGTCCTGGTGATTGCACTCATGGAAAGGGCGAGAACGACCGCAGCCCTTCTTCCAGCACACATGGAAACCCCGCTGGCATCGTTTTCCTTTCCCATTCCAACGACATGTGCCCCGGTTAAACCCGAAACAAATGGGCTTGCCGTCCACTGTCTTAGACACGCAGCCCTCGGGAACGATCAAGGCAGTTTCCGGAGTCTTACCATCCCGCTTCCCTTTGGGGGTAGTGCCCTTGCCCCCCCCTTTGGGCTGGCCCTTCAGCTGGGGCTTTCCGGGAAGGTGAGGCTCGGGCAAACGCGGGAGCGGATTGAGGAACTGCACCACCTCGTTGGCGTACATGAGGGTACGGATCTGCGCATCAAGCGGCTTAGGCTGGTTGGGAGCAGCAAGCAAGGTTCCGATCATCTTCTCGGAAGCGAAAATGAACAGGGCTTTGTCGGCAGATATGAGCTGCTGCACACTGATTGATTGGAAACCTTTGGGAACCTCACGCGCCTGTATGGAGAACAAGTGCTGCACCCATTTTTCGATTTCTATGAAGCTGCAAAGACCGGCTTGGTCCATGGCCAGAGAGCGACGTAGCCAGGCCGCCCTCAACTTGGTGTCAGATGATACCTCACAAGTAGGGTCCTTCGAGTGGGCGATCACACGCATCCGACCATCGGCCTCGACTTGAATGGACTTGTCCTTACGAGAGAGCTGCAGCTCTTGTGCACGGGAGATGCACCTTTCTGGACCCAGGTAAGTGAGAATCCCCTGTTCCCCCATGTCAACAAACAGATCAACGAGGCAATTGGCAGGGGATGTCTCCGGAGTGAACACAACACCTTGGAGACGCGCCTCTTGGGCCTTGGCCCTTGCTGCACGCTCTGCTGGGGGCAATTTTCGAACCTGGGCCTCACCAGTGGGCTCGACACGGGAGCGCAGCTCAGCAATATTCATGGATTGACTTTCAAACATCAATCTCCTGATGCAAGCAGTCTGAAATGGGGACAAAGGGTTGGCAAAAGTGGCTTCCATCCAAGCAGTCACTGCAGCGTCATCGAGCTGATGGGGTGAGGAGGATGCTGCGAAACACAACTTGCCGAAGGTGTCGAAATTGGCGGCGATCAACTCCTGAAGCACCTCATCTGTGACCCCAATCTTTTTGGCGCGGTCCTTGAACTGGGGAACACTATCCAGTGCAGCACTAGCCATGTTTAACACAGCCAAAAGGAGGGTATGCTACTCCTCGAATGATCAAGTTGAGCCGACAACTCGGAGATGACATAAAAGTCGGAAGGGAAAGCATACAAGGGCCCCCATAGTTAGGACACGGCCCGGGCTCGGCTGCCCACGTGCGCCTTGACTCACAGTCAGCTCGGATGCCGAACCACACACAAGATATGCACAAGACAGTAGCAGCATAAAGGCCCCACAACGCACAAAGCCCGGGCTCGGATGCCCACATGCACTCAAACATTAGCAGCATATAGGCCCCACAACGCGCAAAGCCCGGGCTCGGATGCCCACAAGCACTCGACTCCGAGGCAGCGGGCTCGGATGCCCCAGGCTCGGGCGGTTTTTGCTAGCTAGGGCAACTGCTCCGATAGCAACACCCGATTGCACTGATGGCAACAGTCGGGCTCAAAATGTGCTACCGCCGAAACGGCCTCGGTTGGCTTATAGTTGTCGGACAAAGGGCGTCCGCAAAGAAGAGTGGATTCATCCCTCTTCAAATGGGTGATTCCCGAAATGACATGAGTGACACACTGGCTCCAGCTTACATCGGAAAAGGGGGGCCTAACCCTCGCAAGACCATCACGTTCCTCCATCTCAACTCCCGAGCAAGAAGCCAAACTATCTGCATCAGAGTCCTCAGCAAGGTCCTTGTCCAATTCACGTGCCTCCGAAGGAAACGCCGCCTGATCAGGATCTGGACCGTGAAGCAGACCCTCGGCAACGGCCACGACGCGGGAGGCAGCCTTTAGATCCGGGTTAAAGGCTAAGGAACGGATACTCTCAAACATGGCAGATACCCGGCCATACAGGGTGGTATAAGCCTCGATCGAGTACACCAGCATGGAGCGATCCTTCGGATCAACGTGGTGCCCCAGCAATCTCCTGTCCGACTTGCTGAAGAAGACCACAGATGACTTTCCAGCCCACATGAGGAGAGTTCGCTTGAGGCTGTGAGTCCCAAGCTTCTCCAAACCAGTTGATGCAGGAATCTCCGACATGAGAAATTCGCGCAGATAGATCGCTGCTTCAGATGAGCTCATCTTGGATGTACCCCATCTCCCTGATCTCTCGCTGAACGTCGGGAGGAAAGGAGTTCCATCCACTAGGTTTTCAGCCTTCCTGGCAGTGATCCACCTGCGGGCCCAAGGCACTCCGGATAGCCCCAGACCAATGGCCGCATAAGGCAAGAGAGTGCACTTCGCTGAAAGGGAATAGGTGGTTTTCGAAGTAAGGGCCTCACCCTGAAGAAGCTCAAATCCCGAGTCCTCATCCACCGTCACAAATATCCTCTGCAGTGTTTGAGAGTCACGCCACCGTGATCCAGCATGGAAGCAAAACAACAATTGCCCCGCAATGCACCCATGGCGTGTAGAACACCTCATCATGAACCGCTCCAAAACCTCAACTTGCCCAGCCGTCAGCTCCTGTTTCTGACACAGCGGGCGCTTGCCAAGATGCATCTGTCTTGCTAGCCCTCGGCAACGCGAAGAAACCACCTCCTCAACGTCTACAAAGTTAAGCTTCACCAAGCCGTCTAGGAAGCGAATTGCCTCGAGCAAATGAGTACCAGCAGTAGCCCCCGCGTTCTTCTCCAAGTGTTTCAGATACTGGTAGAGCTGTGACTCGGAGAACCTCAAAGGGGAACCACTACGGCCCATCAGCCAACTTGCAAACTTTCCCAGCGAACAAGACCTCTTGTATATGGTGCTGGCGGCCTTCATTACGAACACGTGGTCAAAGGCCGAAGCAATGTCCTCTTCCGAGGCCAAGTTACGAATGTCAGTCGCCAGGGTGCATCCCAACTTTGAAGCCAGGGGGTCAAGCATTACAAGACTGCGGAGTCTGTTAACTGCGTGATTTCTCAGATCTTCATCAGACTTCTCAAGGCGGAAGTGCTGGAGCCTCTTTTCCACGACCCAAGAAAGGCCCTCATCCGAAGTGGGTAAGGACGGCGCAGCCCTCGGAGGATCCAAGGACTCCTGCAGTCCAACCTCAGAGAAAGCATTTGCCCAGAGCCACTCTTCATGAGAATTCCGATCAGAGAAATTTCCGAAGACCTCCCCGAAAGGTCCACTCTCCCATGGCTGACACGGTCGTTCAACCCTGGCTTTCTTAATGCAGAAAAGCATGGCCGTCTCTTGCATGGCCAGGATGTGCTGATCACACGAAAAAGAGGGCATATGATCGAGATCAGGAAGACGACTCTGACGATCCTCTAAAGGGGAACTCGTACAAACTGCACCCACATCCGACTGAGGAGGTTCATCACGCACCATGTTATACCATTGCACCTCACCATCAAGCTGCTCAGGTTGCCCTTGGGAAGAAAGCTCAAAATCCTTTTCAGAGACCTCCCCAATTGCATCTTCCGGATCAGACAAACCAAGACCTCCTGATTCCGGCAAAGGAAAGGGTGGTTCGCTTAGGAGACTCGAGCCAGGATCTAAAAGCACCTCCTGCGCGTCGAGGAGAGGTAGGTCAGGCTCTGTCAGGTCAGTCTCTTCCAGGCACCCCGACTCACCCCCTAGCATGGTGCCGGGAGGTCGAAGCTATGCGGAAAGGCCCAGAAGCTGCCGGGCGCACGCGTGGGAGCGATGTCCAGCGGTGGCCACGGCCCTCCAATCTGCCTCGGTCAGGAACAAGAAGATGCGCGACCCCTCTGATGTGCTGATGAGTACGCCTGCAAAGGAAGCTTCAAGAACGTAGGAAAACAAATGCGGGGCCGCTCCCGCGCGTCTCTGAAGCAGCTGCAAATGAAAGCGTCTCGGAAGGATTCGCACAGGTTGAAAAGGCGGGGCTCTGGGAACTGGCGCCCAATCCCAGCTCAAGGAAGAATCAGTGGCAGATTCCTCAGAGGAGTCGAACATCCATGAACCCTCGGTTCATCAAAAATTGTGAACGGTTCCGTGTTTGAGCCTTTGCGACCAAATACAAACAATTCTGCATGCTCTGAAAACTCATGTATGTCAAGCAAGAACATGACTCTGGTCTGCATGCAAACAACGGTTCCCAAGTTTTTATACACTTTGGTAACAAACTTTCAACGGGAAAGGAAACATTAAAATCATTCGGAGAAAACCCCGGCTCTTAAAACGAGCCTGTTTAGTTGACGGTAGAAAATATTATCCGCAAGCGGAAGGCTATCGTCTTCGGCCATCGCCTCGGCCAACAACGCGACGCTCGCCACGGCGGCGGCCAACTATGGGCTGAAGAGCACGCAGGACCAGCAGGCCCTCGACATCGCGGCCCGGCAAACAGCGGCCGACGTCTCCCAGGCCATCACCACCGCCCTGCTCCCCTACACCGACACCAGCGGCCTGAACAGCGCGGTGGCCCTCAGGACGACGCCCGCGGACGTCTCGCAGCTCATCGCGACGGCGCTTCTTTCTTACGTGCAGCAGGTGGCATTGGACGCTGCATTGGCCATCCGAGACGGGAGGTTAGACACCGCCGAGGCGGCCCTGGCGGCGCTGCAGGCAGCGGGCTTCCAGTCGGCTGCCGACGTTGCGGCGGCGCTCGCCGCGGCCCTCGCAGCTGACACCGCGGGACTCAACGCCCTCCTGGCCGTGCGGGACGCGCGCCTGGACGGGCACGACGCCGACATCCTGGCCCTGCAGGGAGCGGGGCCCTTCGCGACGGCAGCAGACCTGTCGGCCTCCGAGACGAGCCTGCAGTCGGCCATCGACGCGCTCAACTCCGCGCTGGCCGCGCTGACCACGGGCGGCGGCACGAACCTCGCCAACGCCCAGGCGTGGCCCGGGCAGACGACCTGGGACCTCCTGGTGGGCACCGGGCACCAACACCATCCGCAACCTGCACTTCAGCGGCGCCCCCCTGAGCGTCTCCCTCGAGAACGACAACTTCACGCTGTCTTTGGCCTGCGACGCCTACACGCAGGGAGAGGTCAATGCCCTCCTGGCTCCCTTGGCCAGCGAGTCCTGGGTGTTGGCCACCCTCGGAAGCTACTACGACTCCACCGAAACCAACGGGGCCATCGCGGCAGCCCTGGTCCCGTACAGCACGACAACAGAGATGGATGCAGCGATTGCCACCGCCGTGGGGGGCATCGACCTGAGCGCCTACGTCCCGTGGACCGGGCTCCAGGCCCCCATCCTCAACGAGATCGCCATTGCCCTCGCGTCGTACTACGACTCCGCGCAAGTGGACGCCCTCGTCGCGGGAGCGGCGGTGACCAACGCCCCCGCCTGGGGCGGGAACACCACGTGGGAGCTCCTGACCGGGCAGGCTCTCCGGAACCTGCACTTCACCGGGCCCCTCGTGGCGACCCTCCAGAACTCGGGGAACACCCTGCAGATCGACTGCCAGGCCTACGACCAGAGCCAGACGTACACGCAGGCCGAGGTGAACGCGCAGATCACGAGCGCCGTGGACGCCCTGAACGTCTCGCAGTACGCCACGCAGGCCGACATCGACAGCTCCATCGCCTCAGAACTGACCAACTACTGGGACCAGGGCGAGACCTCGGCAGAGATCGCGAGCCAGATCAGCTCCTCTGGGCTCCTCACGGAGGCCCAGGAAACGCAAGATACAACATCACCAATGGGAATGCGGGGGGGGGAGGCATCATTCCTATGGTTCTGGAGAACTTCCAGCCGCGCATGGTCCGAGCGCTGCTGCCCCAGGCTCCGTTGGGGGCCATCTGATTTTGGGCAACTCTGCGACGGTTCAATTGACTTGTGATGCGTATTCCAAGAGTGAGAGCGATGGGAGGTACTTCTCCAACAGCGACTTCACGCCCCTAGACTCCAGGTACAACATCGTCAACGGCAACGCCGGCGGGGGAGGCATCATTCCTATGGTTCTGGAGAATTTCCAGCCCCGCATGGTCCGAGCGCTGCTGCCCCAGGCTCCGTTGGGGGCCAATCTGATTTTGGGCAACTCTGCGACGGTTCAATTGACTTGTGATGCGTATTCCAAGAGCGAATCGGATTCCCGCTATGCCCTGGCGGGGGCGCCCCCGTCGGATCCCCTGCTCGTCAACGACGTGCGCGCCAACGGGGGCGACTTCCTGACGCTGCGGGGCGGCAGCCTGGGCATCGAGTTCGAGGCCAGCAACGGGGCCGCCGTGGCCGACCTGTCCTCCACGCTCTTCAGCCTCAAGACGGGCGTCAACATGCTGACCATGGTCCGCATCTTCGCCGACAGCAGCCTGGGCATCGCCACGGCCGGCAGCGTCCAGGCGGACACGGTGGAGCCCTTGCTTCCGACCAATCAGTTCCTCAACCTGAAGTCGGGCACCGTCTCCGTGCGTGTCACGGACCAGAGTGACCAGAGCCTCTGCACCTTCGCCGCGTCGGAGGTGCACTCGGTGGCCCCGAGGCTGCGCGTGGACACGGAGCTCTACATCGACGACGCAACGGGCACGGCCACGGGGCTCGTGACCAACGCCATCTCCGCGCGCGCGCAGGACACGGAGCTGACGATCACCGGTGGCTCCGGGGGCACCGTCGTCAACGGGGCGCTGGACGTGTTGGGCACCCTGACCTCGGGCAGCGTCGAGCTCAGCACGGAGCTGAGGACTCCCACGGTGCGGGCGAGGCCCACGGACCAGTTCCTCACGATCACAGGAGGCGTCACGGGCACCTATCTGAACAGCGTTCTATACACGGCTTCCGCCATCCGCGCGGACAACGGCATCGTCTCCAGCCCCGCGTACCTGGACCTCATCGGCGGCAGCACGGGCGTGCAGGCGCAGGGGGACCTGCGGGTCGTGGCCACCGCGAACAGCGGGGACGTGACGGCGGAGGTCGTCAACCTCGCGCCCGTCGGCAACGCAAAGCTCAGGCTGGAGCGCGGCTCGGGCGAAGGGGAGCTGGAGGCTGCTTCCGCGGGCGGTGTGCAGCTTTTCGCACCGAATCAGGCCATCTTCCTCAGGACCTCCTCGGCGGGGCCGGCGAACTTTGTCGTGGAGAGCAACACCGGTGGAGCAAACGATGGCGAATGCATCGCGAACTTTGGCTTCCAGAACCTCTCGGACGAGAAGCTGAAGCACGACGTGGAGTCCGCGGGGCTCGAGGAGCTGCAGCAGGTCTTCGACGCCGTGGTGCCCAAGTGGTACAGGCGGACCCAGGGCAGCCAGAAGCGCACGCTCGGCTTCATCGCGAACGAGGTGCGGGAGACGGGAGCCGTGGGCCAATCCCTGTGCGGCAAGCTCGTGGACGAGGAGCTGGGGGAGCTCGTGACATTGGATTACAACCGCATGTGCTGTGTGCTGTGGAAAGTCTGCCAGGGGCTGCAGGCGCGGGTGGAGGCCCTGGAAAGGAAGGGCAAGGGCAGGGGCAGGGGTTAGAGAGTGTCCCACCTGGGAGATGGGACTTCGGACATCGGCCTTGCCGAAAAGTGAGGCCCTGGAAAGTTTACAAATCCGTAACCTATCCGGGCAGTTTCGAGGCGACTTCTTCTGGCTTCCCAAGAACCAGGGAGCCCTGAATAAATGGAGGCCCCGGCTCATCCCAAAAAAGGGCTTGTTCCTCAGAACCGACGAGCCCTGAATAAATGGACGCGATCGGCATCGACGTGCTGCGTCGCCTGGCCGCGACCTTCAACGTCCGAGACGCGCGCAAGCTGCACCAGATAGCCAGGCGGGAGTTCCCGGACGACCGAACCCTGACCTTCGCCCGGGCCTAGGCGGCGCTGCGGCAGGACGTGGCGCGGCAGGTGCTCGCGCCCAAGCCCCGGTCTCTGGGCAAGAGCGCGGCCGAGGGGCCCAACACCCGCCTGCAGGCGGATCTCATCGACTTCAGTTTGAACACCCGTGGCCCTGGCCGACAGAAGTACGGCCTCGTCGTGAGCGACGTCTTCACGCGGGAGGCGGCGACGATGGCCCTGCCCGACAAGCGCGCGGAGACCGTGACGGCGGCCGCCGGGAGCTCATCCCGGACCTGGTGCAGGGCGAGACCAATTATGTCGTTACGACTGACAAGGGCAACGAGTTCGTGGGCCTGGAGGCGGCTCTGCCGGACCCTGTGGTGCACCGCGTGAAGGACCCCTCCGATCGAAACGCCACGGCCGTGCTGGACCGAACGATTCAAACGCTGAAGAAAGACCTGGCGGGCGCGGTGGCCCGAGAAGGTGGAAGGTGGAACGAGCACCTGCCGGACGCGACGCGTGCATACAACAAGCGCCCGCACGAGGCGGTGCACGCGGCGCCCGAGGACGTGGAGGAGCAGCCGGCCACCACGTTCCGCATCTACCAGGACAACGCTCGGAAGTTCCAGCACAACCGGGAGCTGACGGCGGGCAGGCAGCGGCGTCTCGCGGAGGCGGAGGCCTTCCGCGCGCCCACGAACGCGCAGAGGAGCTTCCAGCCCCAGTACGGGCCCGTGAAGCAGCTGGCCTCCTACGACTCCATGGTGGCGCGCGCCACGGACGGCACGGAGACGCTGCTGAAGCACGCGCTGCCCGTGCCCCGCGGCTCCGCGGAGCCCAAGGCCCGGCTGACGAGGCCCCGCGCGCCGCTGCATATCCGAAGGCTCCGGAGGGGAGTCCTTGCGCCAGCACCAGCAAACGC